TTACTGTTTTATATTGTTGATTACTGGGCTGAAAGTCAATATTATTTATTTCTATGAGTTGAGCATCATGATCGGATAAGCCATTTATAAAGGGTCCTACAGTATAATCTCTTAATTTTGAGTTATCAATGAATATATTATCTATCGCTGAACTAGAATTATTTTGAACTCTTGTGGGAAAGTTAACAGTACTGGAGAGATTGTAAGATGATAACAAAGAGTCTAAATTTAGTTTCCTATTACTGTCGATGAGATAGTTTATATTTATATCACCACAAATGATAAATTCAACTTTTGAACTATGCAGTACATTTAGGATGGTTTCTAATCTATTTAAAAAGTGATTGAAGTTTCCAGATGGGGCTCTATATAAAGTCAGTATACAAATATTTGAAAAAGGAGAGTCTAACTTTAGAGCACATGCTTCCAGATCCTGGTCTTTGCAATAATCTTCTAAATTTATTTTAGTAAATTTTAGGTTTTCATGTACAAAAATACTCACTGTACTGTATGTATGCATGCATGTGACATAATGAAATGAATGCTAGGTGATAGAGCAGGAACAGAAACTTAGTATTATAGACCAATGACTGTGTCCTGCCATATGTTTTGGTCCATAATTAGACAACAGGAGAGCAAGGATGACGTTCTTAAGGGCTGTAGCAGGTTATAGGAGAACAGGCTACATCAGAAACCAAGCAGTCAGACATAATTTAAATATGTGTAAATGCTGGGCCAAATAGTTGAATATCAAAGAAATTGGTTCCACACCTGGAAAGAATGGAATGTAGGAGATTTGCTGAAAGATTTCACCAATTTACACCAGTTGGCAGGAGAAGAGGAGGTAGACCATAAAGTAAATGGAAGGACTAGTTCTGACTTAATCTTAAATTATAAAATTCTAGTAAAACTAGTTCTTGCAGCAGTTAAAGTAGCCAGTACTAGAAAAAAAGCAACCAAGTATTTGAAAATTGCAGTATAGCCTTCAGCATTAAATGTCTCAGAAGTGAGCCAAGCGTAACACGTTCGTTGTCGTGTTACACAGTATTTTAACAAATGTGACTGTAATGTGATTTGAACATTATTTCTGAGGTATGAAAATTTGCGAATGAGAATAAATGGCCTTTGAACTCCACCATGGTAAATGCAGAATAAATCATAATTCAAGTATGACACTTTTCAGATTGTAAAGATAAGAAAATCTTTATGGTGTGGAGGATATGTGTCTGCACATACAGGTACACGTGCATATGACTTTCAGTTTGAGACCAGATTGGGAAGAGAATGTGCAAAAATGTTGAGAATTGAGATGACCGTGAGAGTTTTTTCCAACTAGACACATGTTTTCACTGTAAATTGTGTAACTCTAACCACTTTTTCACAGTGCATAAAGTGTACTTTTTTCCTTTTCATATTAGATCTTTTTTGGCAGTTAGTTTGAATCATACTTTAAAAAGTCAGTTTTAGGTTCCCATCCATTTTTACTGTGGGCAGAAACAGAACGAAAGACTGACATTTTGTCACTGATTTGTGCTAGTGTTGCAAATCATTCTGGTCTAGAAAACTGGAAATAACAGCCGTGGGGATCCGCTGTGCTAACCACATGACACCCTCTATCCGTTAAAGTTGGCACTAACTTTGTCGACAAGTGGTGGTCGCTCAGTCAGTATAGTTCGATTGCGGACTACAGGCCATGGAATTTGTTTGTTGCAGATCATTATGATTGATGGGTTGGATAGTTCGCATCTTACTGTATAAGGCAAAAACAGTTATCAGAAAATTCCTGAAATTCAAAACTGAAAAATTGTTGTTTGAATTATATACTTTATTTCTCAAGTTAGTCTAAAAATTTGGGACTCGTGTAATTAGTATGAACTCATGTCATGTATTGCCAAACATAAGTCGAACCCCCTTGTAGTGCTCTTGATTTGAGGTTTTCCCTCATTTAATGCTGAATTTCAATGATTCAAGTTAGTACTCTTGGTGTTAATTTGCCCCCATTTAAGTTTAAAATTCGGATCCGCTGTTCCCCAAAGAATCCTAAAATGGGGGTTTCACTATACAAATTTTCTTATACACTTACTATACCAACACAAACATAACATAAATTAAGTAAGAGCTCTTTACCTGCTACGTTCAGACTTGCTGGAGAGACAAAATTTTCTGAATGGAAGGAAAGATATTTCTTTTGACTTCGATAGCTCAGCTGCAGACATGTCAATAAATAATGTAGGTACATCAGTACACTTGGTCGCTGACTTACGACCACAAAAAAAAATAAATAAAAGATGATTAAAATGTAAAAGTTTTTTAAAACTAAATTATAAAGGTTAGAAAGGTTAAAAAACTGTTAATAAATATATGGCCAACATATGACCAGATCGACTTATGACCTGTCAGAACGGAAGTCGGTCTTAAGTCAACAACCAAGTGTATGTTTTGTGAACAAAATTAACAAGTACACTGGAATCTTCATTTGATGTTTCTCAGTTTAAGGTTTTCCCACATTTAACATGTAATTTTGTGATCCTGAGTCATAATCAGAGTGTTAAATTATCTCCATTTAAGATTTTCATCAGTTCACTTAGAAAATTCACAGCTCCTGGAATAATTTTCCAGGAGATGTTTTATTATTGTTGGTCACCACATTTAAAAAATATATCACAAAGTAAAGGCTGTGGTAGCATATGTGCACCAGCTATATTTCGTATAGTACTATGACAGTCATGATGCAGGATACAGAGAACAGTGTGAAAATAAAGGCAAATACATAAAATTCTTATAAAGAAAACTTTTTACCATTGAATGTATAAATGATGATTGTATTTTTACTGAATTCTGAAGTTTTGCCCATTGACGTTTACATTCAAATTCTACTCTTACTGCATTGTTATTGTTAGAAGATTTGACTGTAACTAATCCATATATACTTGTTAACAGTATCAAGCCAACAAGCAAGCACATTGAGAATTGTCCAAGATGACAGCACAGATGGTGCAGTGGCAGGGCCAAGCGGAGTCAGTACAAGACAACTTATATCCTCCACTCCAAATATTCGGTCAACAGGATCACATCTGTTGGCTAGTGCAGGACAGAAGATGAATGGTATGAAAATGGGCTTGTGTGATTTTGAAAAAATTGTATTTAAAAATTTTTTTAGTGAAGTTTTATTAACGCTACACGGACCGGCGATTTAAATATTTAAATCACCCTGTGGACCGGCATTATTAAACCTACTATCCTAACTTGTGCACTGTTCACTTTAAAAATTAATATAAAATCTCCTAATTAATTTTTTGAACTAAAATTTTTGGAGAACACTTACCAATGCTCCTATAAGTGCTTGAGAGTGTGATATTTCTGGAAACATTCCTCTTTGTGAAGTGGCATTACATAGAACTTGCAATGTAGACAGCCATACTCCTTTTTTCTGTGAACTGTGCAAACACGGCATTGCTTAGAAGGATGCTTAACCTTGGAATGTTCATTCTTCAAAATTTTCACGAGGGTATGTTTCCGCATATCACCCAAGTCGCCCTGGGGGGTCCACATGAGGCCTGCATGGGCTGGGAGTTGATGTGAGAAGTCGCACTAAGTCTGTGTCTGTGTCTGTGTCTGGCTCTGGTTCTGCTGCCACCATCTGGTCTGTAGCCCAGGCCTTTGCCACATTCATCAAAAATGCTTTGTATATCAATTTCGAATCAGGGTTTAGATTTTTTGCTGTCCCTGCAGTGTTACTACCAGCATTTTCGTTGGAGCTACTGTCACTTTTACTATCTGTGGCCACAATTCTTTGTTGTCCCCTGTCACTGCCACTGTCTGAGTCACCATCACTACGCGTCTCACAAGGCACGTAAGCTAGCTCATCGGAGAAGAATTCGTCCTTGATCCATATTCCACTACTAACTTTACTTGCTGGTACATACGGCTTGAAGACTGACAAAAGGCATTTTCCTTTGGAAAGGGTTAAGATAACAGTGAGATCATGTTACTGAATACTAAGCAAACATTCCGAAGTTTTATTACGTAGTAGTCATGCAATTGCGTGGCAACAGAGCAAGGTATAGTGTGTTCGAACCTAATGTGTCCTAAAATCATGATATGCGACTAGTCCTTTATGTGTTAAGTTATTTAAGTTTTTGAAATGCAGTAACAGAGAAGCAACACTGCTTGTACTGGTCTTAGGTAGAAATCATTTTCATATTCAGTGGCACTAGTGCAAAACCAGAGACCACCTTCTTAATACTCTTTTCTGAAGGGAATGTTGTTATGATTGCATTTTGGAATGCTTTTGTATTCTGTGTGTTACAGTATGTTTTCTATTTAAAGGAGATGACCAATCAGAAGGTAGTGAATCTACAAGTGGCTGTTCGTCGGTACCCCAAGCTAACCGACAGATGGGGGCTGGTGGAGAATCAATTAGCAGTTTGTTAGGGCGAAGGCGGAGCATGGACGAAAAGCTGAACTTCAGTAAGTAGTTACCTTACTTTGTTGCTGGTTAATCCACACCCTAGTGTCACTGTTTCAACAAACATTTCTTATATTTTTCAGATTGTTTAATTAATAATTTTCTTTTCTTTATTTGTTTTGTTTCATTCTGGTCCATCACACTAACAATTACAAAGACAAAAATAACACCATCCAGTGTGACTATTTAAGTTTTATCCCTTGAAAACTCATCACCCTTACATGTTTTGATCCCTATGGATCATCCTCAGAGGGCATCAATACTTTTTCCGGAAACTACTATTACAATAGGTGTTAAATTATATACATACACATATAATGTCTGAAATACACAATGTACACAATGTTCAACTTTTCACAGTCACAGCAGCCTTCCTGGTATTAACATTTTTAAAGTTTCTTAAAAACTTTGTTGTTTAAGATTAAATTTTTTTTTTTTATAAACCATGCAGGTTCGCGTCAATTCTCCTATTGTCTTTCTTGGAGGTGGCTGATTTTGTGCTGCCTCCAAGAAAGACAAGAGGAGAATTGACATGAACCTACATGGTTTATAAAAAAAAATTTTAATCTTAACAAAGTTTTTAAGAAACTTTAAAAATTTTAATACCAGGAAGGCTGCTGTGACATGTAAGGGTGATGAGTTTTCAAGTGATAAAACTTAAATAGTCACATTAGACGGTGTTATTTTTGTCTTTGTAATAATTTTCTGTTAATGAGATTATTATAACATACATTTTCTTTCTCTCTTTCCTGTATCTCCCACTTTGGAGCATAGGGCAACACTTTGTTTCACTTCAGTTTCTTAACCCTAAGACAGTTGGTAGGACTCCTTTGATACAGGATCAGCCCATTGCAAGGCTACTACCTACACAGGACAACACAAACACAGAATAAGTGGAGACAAACATTCATGCCTTGAGTGGGTTTCAAACCCATAATCACAGTGTTTGAGCGAGTGAAGACAGTAGCAGCATACGTTACTCATACATAAATCATTTTCTAACCTACTTCTTTTACAAGAAAGAGTGAGCATATCTTATGTGGGTTAGCATGCACATGACCATCAGTAATATTTATGCTGTGGGAGCAACACCATCACTATTGCTCTAGGATTCTTTGATTGTTATAGTGGTATATCTTTGAAAACCATGAGAAATCTGTGGAATAATGAATGACCTGAAGTAAAGGCATGTGAAATTTTGTGATTTTCTATGAAGTATTTTTATATTTTAATACCTTGGACCATATTAATGTTATACCACATTGGTACGTGTTGGTCATAGTTGCTGAGTGAGTAACATGATACAACTTTAAGAATTCATGTAAGCATTGTTATCAGTGTGTAATTTTGAAACTTTGATTCCAGTATGTAGTGAATTCCTTCTGTTCTCTTTTATAGCCAACAGATATCACTTAACTGTACTTATTCATCCTTAAAGGTAAATTTGACCCTGCGCTTAACTAATTAAGCACTGGGCCATAAAGGCGTAGGGGGGGAGTGGATGTATAGATCCACATTTTCTTGACCATGACACTAGCTGGAGATGAGTGGTCATCTTCATGCCCCTGCTGCATTACACCTGGGGAATGAGCCCCCAGCACCCATTGGATAGGAGATTGGGTGGATCCCAGAGCCAGTTTGGATGATGTGGGGAAAAGTCTTGCCCCTGCTGGGACTCAAACTCTGACCACTCTGTTGTCCAGCCTGTTGCCAGTCACTGTCGATTGAGATATCCTGGCTGTCACTTATTCATCCTTACCTTGGCTTTTGTATAGCCATAAAGTAAATATATTTCCATCTGTCTTCATAGGCCTACTCCCTTCTCTGGTTTTCTAGCCCCTAGAGAGACATGACGCAGTGATGAGTGTAAGTAGGAAGTGACTGAATAACAAATGAAAGTGAAAGCATAACTAGTGATCTGAATTGAAATTCGATTCACAAATTTTTAATTTTAAATTTTAAAATTTTAAAATTTTAACTTTTGACATTTAGAATAATATTTTAACTTGTGTTTTGTGAGAGGAACTTGATATATTATTGAGCGTGGGCCTGAATAAGATACAGGATCGAATAAGTGAGAAGACGAATGTGATTGCATGTAATTAATTATACAGCTGTGTTTGTACACCTGAGGATGACCTCTTGAGGTTGAAACATGTAGTGTGATAGTAGTAAATTTATGTTGTGTGGTTGGTAAAATTGACTCTAATATTGATAATTAGGAAGTTGTATAAATGCTGTATTGGTGTTTGTGTGTTACCGGTCTAGAAAACCGAGATTAATGGCCATGGAGATCCGTTGCTCTGAACACGTGACACCTTCAGTCTGCAAAAGTTTGCACTAACTTCGCTGACAAGTGGTGGTTGCTTGGTCAGTATAGTTCACTTGCGGACTACAGGCCACAGAGTTTTGTTGTAGCCCTGCCCAGAAGTTTCAAGATGCAGCTGTTCCCATCAAGATAGTTATGGACTGCTGGAAAGCAGATCCTGTGCTTTATGTAAAAACTGCTGTCCCTCAAAATATAAACTTTTATTTTGGAGTGCACAAAAGTGAATGTGTTCAAAACATTGTTACTTTTTAATACTTTTGCACGTCATTAACCCATTCACATCCATTAGTACCTGTGTATGGTCGTATGAAACTAGCTTCTGTTGCCTAGTTCACATAAGTGTGTGAAGGGCGTGTTCACTTTTCTTGGTGTTTCATCAAGTTGTAGCTATGCTCACCTGCTACCCCCACCATCATCACCACCACCACAGCTTTCTGGAATACATTGTATTGATATCTGATGGAGAAATTTCTAGCCAGTATCAGTATTTACTGTAGCTATAAACTTTTGTTGCATGTTGGTAAAAACTGCTGGTGATCAACAAAGTGCCTAGGAAAATGATTCATTATGTGGATGGCTTAAGGCAGGTGCCTAATATCAAAGAACAAAAGACAATTCACTAGACAGATTTTTCATTTTGTAGTAAGCTTATGAGACCACCTCTGTGGTCTAGTGGTCAGAGTTCCTGGGTACTGATCCAGAGGCCCCGGGTTCGATTCCCAGCTCTGCCAGAATTTCTGAGAAGTAGCCGGTCTATAATGTCCACTTAGCCTCGTGAGGATGATTGAGAAGCTACTTGAATGGAAAAGTAGTGGCTTCAGTCTAGAAAACCGAAATCAACGGCTGTTGGGATTCGTTGCGCTGACCACACGACACCCTCTATCCACTAAAGTTGGAACTCACTTCACCAACAAGTGCTGGCCGCTCGGTCGGTATATTTTCACTTGCGGACTCAAGCCACGGAGCTTAGTAAATTTATGATTGCAGTATGATTTTTTGCTGTTTATATACAAGACTGGTTTTCTCTTTTGACATGTCTTCCACACTACATGGGAAATTACATACATATTTTCCTCTTTCCTATCATGGTGTCAACAATAAGGAAAGAAAAAGAAAGTATACATTATTAGAGGTATTGGTAAGAGTGCAGATAAACAGTTGAACCAGTTACTACTCCCCAACTGATAGCAGATGAGGTATATGTGTTTGGCTTTGCATTGAAGAATGATGATGTGACTTCTACTTAACATATGACAAAACTGATTCGCTTTCATAATAAGGATTTTTTTTCTGTTTCATTGTAGCTGGACATCTTCAGAGACCACGGTCCTTGTTCTCTGACCGAAGTCATAGCCGCAGCCCACATCTGAACTCTCCTGTTAAGAGAAGAAACCCATCATTCAACGCATCTGCTTTTGGCTCACCACTTGTAGTATGTATAGTTGTGCTTCTTCCTTATGCTTCATTGCCTTTTGTAATGGATTTGTTTCTGTAAAACCAAACACTAATCAACATTCATTGTTGGGAATAATTAGAAGTCCATACCCTGTGCAAGGAAAGAATCTGTCATTGGTAGAGGGGCAGGTATGTTACAGGTTTTTGGTAGAAAATTGTGTAATTGCAACATACCAGTTTTGAGATAAAAATATTTGTTATTAAGAAATTCAGCAGTTTCATATAAATGCATTGCTTATTGTATGTTTCTCATACTATTGGTTATGACCAAGGGATGTTGCCCCATTCTGAAGACTTCATAAAATATAGTTGTATGAAAGCAGTTTTGGCCAGGATGTAATATTTAATATAAGTATTTTCAAGAAATGTACCAGCATCTGGCAAAACATTTCATGATTTTTTTTTATGTAGTCAAGAGTTGTATGTTAAAGTGTCCAATTAATTTGATTACCAGTCCAAACCCCATCTACAGTCAAGCCATCATGTGACAGTATGCTCACCTCCAGACCCTTGGTAATCATGAGTTCATGTGTTCAGAGTAAGGCATGTGGAATGTAGAAGGTTAGCGGCATGTTTGTTGGACATTGGAAAACTGTCAACTTTCTACATGTCATTACGAGTAAACCTGGAGATAGCAACTGGAATGTTTGCCAGAGTGGAGAACCTTTAACACAGCTGTACAGCTTATTGCCAAAAGCCAAAGTCATACATTACAATGCTGATGTTAGATCCTGAAAGATGATTAACTTGTTACCATGCGCTGTTCATAACGCACCAGGTACATATGAGGGACAGTCAAATGAAAACGGGTCAGAAGTCTAAACATATTAAAGAACATCTCTTACTTCAAAAGTAATCTCTAAAATTGTTAATGCATTTATCCCGCTGGGAGATAAAATGGTCAATCCCATCCTTGAAAAAGCTTGTGGGCTGTCTATGGAACCACATCTTTACCCAGCCACACACGTCTTCGTCCGTTGCAAACTGATGCTCATGAATGTCTCTCTTCAGGTCTCCAAAAATGTGAAAATCACATGGGGAGAGATCTGGGCTGTAGGGGGATGTTGAGGCACTTTCAAACCAAATCTCTGTAGCATTTTCCTCACAGAGTTGGCAGTGTGGGGGTGCGCATTATCATGAAGAAGGTTAATGTCATTCAATAGCATTCCAGGGCGTTTTGACTTTATGGCACGTCTCAGTTTCTGCAAAGTGTCTTCATAGCACTGCACTGATTGTGGCCCCATGCTCGAGAAATTCGACAAGCAGAGAGCCTTTGCAGTTGAAGAATGTCGTCATCACTTTACCGGAACTTGTATGTACACCTTTGGATTTCTTCGATGGGTGAGAATTCACATGTTTCCACTGTTGGCTCTGCCATTTGCTCTCAGTTTCAAAATGGTGGCACCAAGTTTCGTACCCAGTGGCAGTACGGGACAGAAAAGTAAATTCTTCCTCATGGTATCGTTACAAATGACCCAGTGATGCAGCCATTCTCCGAGTCTTCTGTTCCTCCGTGAGTTGATGTGGAACCCACTGCTCTCAGATTTTGTGGTACAGCAGGTGTTTTGTCACAATGGCATGTACTGAACCGTGACTTATTCCCATCAAAAGACTAATTTCTTCCACAGTGGTCCATCTGTCTGCCTGGATATGACCATCCAACACAGCACTAACATCAAGAGTGATGACACGATGGGCCTGTCCTGGCGGAGCATCATCTTGCAGTGACACACGTCCCCTCGGAATCTCTTATGCCATGCCAGCACAAGTGAATGTGACATGCTGTGTTTGCCATAAACAGCAGACATGTGATGATGAATTTCTTGTCATCCTACTCCTTCGGCAGTCAAAAAGCACATTACACTTTGCTGTTCTTCTTTACCCGCCTCCATTACTGATGGTCAGCAACCACACGTAGCGCTAACCTTACTTCCAGCACAATAAACAAACAACTAGTGTGCAAGGGCACGTCACTGTGCTTTCCCGAGTCCCCACCAGCTATTTGTACTGTAGCAGTGTTACCAACTTGCACACCGTGTGAATTATGCGTGGTGACCCGTTTTCATTTGACTGCCCCTTATACATACTTAGGTATGTACTTTGGTGACTGTTGTCATGTGAGAACCTTTGTCTCTTTTTTGCAGCAGATGTTTATTCTTCTCTATTATTTGTCTGTTGCCTCCATCTCTTCACTTTACGTTGTCATAAATCACTCTCTGTATCCTACAGCCATCTCAATTTGGGCCTTCCCATTTTTTATAAGAAGACACTTCTGACATGTGTCTGCAGTCTCTTGTGTTAATGTGTGTCTGTCATTCCTGCTTGTATAGACCTACCACAGAAGATAGGGCAGGGGTAAAATGACTGTTCTTTTTTCTTTTACTTTTCTTTCCTAAACTGCAAGGTAGCAGTACTGCTGCAGGTCAATCTGAACATCCTCCCCCACCCCACTTTTTAACTATGAGTGCCTTTTACTGTTTGGCTGCATCAGGGTGCTTTTGCCTTTTATAATTCTGCTGTTCTCCTTTTTGTTGAGCTGGACTGAGTCATACTTAGTAAATGCATGTGGCATGTCTAGGAAATTAAATGCAGGTGGCAGAGAGGGCAGTCATAAAACTAATCCTATTGTCAGTGGGACTGCCCCATCAGATATGTTACATATTGAGTGCCTTATAATATTCACTGCAGTTAAGGAATTTGTTTTATAGGTAGTTCCTCATAACTTTAGCCTTGCGGAAAGTTAAATGCTGTTGTGGAGCACGTGAAGCTGTACGTTTGCTGTGGTGACATTCAGAGCTACTCCCTGAGCGGAAAACATTGCCTGTGGAGACCAGGAGTAGGTACACAACGTACTATACACCTGACCACGCTCCAAGATGCTATGTTCAAAACTGGTAGTACCCACGCTGACATAAGCTGATAAGAGTGCTCCCCCAGCTCCGCGAGAGATGGAATGACCCCTTTACCACGGCTAGAGTTCCGAGGAACTAACAGCATTTTGTGTTAAATAGCATTAATAGTAGTGGTCTGAGAGTGTGAAACTGTAACAGTTGCACAGCCATGTTCAAAACCATGGTTATAAATTACATGAAAAGGAATGAAATCATTCTCTGTTCTCACATAACTCATCTTATTATCAGTGTTAGGTAGCCACAATTTTCCTAACTACATTCAGACATCTAAACTTATGATCCAAAAAATGTAATTCACATAGTTTGTGCACCACAACTTTCAGGCACATCTATGGTGTAAAAGACATGTAAATTTTGCAAGTAAATAGAGTATACTGCAGGTACATGTTTGGATTGTTATCATGTAGGGAAAGGACAACTCTTCTTCCAAGAGTACTGTTATCAGTTCACCATTCTATACTGGGAGGACGACATATGGTGGAGCTTCTGCCTACAGAGCTACCAGGAACAAGACTTTTATTCACAGTGAGGTAAAAATATAGTTGTGTTAGTTTTAAGTTTCTACCTGATTATATAGGGGGCACGCGGTAGCGTAGTTGGTTGAGGCACTATGCTACTGTTATGGCGTGAAGGGGGGCGTGGAGGTACCTCCACCGCTTCCGCCACTGGGCCTCTCTTAAGCCGCCGCTACACCTATCTTCTGCCGTGATGACAGAGGGCGTGGAAATATCCCGGTCTGTCACCCCGTTTAGTATGCTGCCACCATCTTGTTATTTCAAGAAATCTCGTAAACTTATCATAGCTTGCGTCCCTGTCCTGGCTTAACTCGTAATTCGCCGGAGCGTTGGGAGGTCCTGGAGTCGTCAAGGAAGAGGGTAACACTTAAGGAAATGTTGGGTTGAATTAAACTCTTACACATTCCTATCCTATTCTATTTACCTACGTCGTTATATACACTATACACACACTGTGCCGACGTTTGTCGGTTGTATTACACTGGATAATGAACCTGCAGTCATCGTTGGTTCTACCTCCTGTCACCCTACTGGCGGGTATTCTACGCCTTGGGATCACTGATGAACCTAATCAATCTAGCCTATCTTTCCCTGTGGTTTTACACTTTAAATTTATCACTGTTACACTTAATGTTCATGGCTATATGAAGATGGTTTCACTTACTTGAGATGAGGAAGAAGATGCTCGTCATCAGCAACCAGCGCACACTCACGGCCATCGCTCTCTCGGCGATAGCCTCCCCTGAACTCTAAGTTACTTAATATCAATCAAAAGTCTAAAGGCAAAAGGTTTTCTGATTAAGTTTTCTAGGGTTTATATAACCTCTCTTTGCTGATTCTTTGAGTTCCGGGTAGGTTGCCTGCCCATTCTGACGTGATTTTGGCCTCCCTCATTGGTTGCCCCTCGAGAAGGGGTTGACTCTTTCGGGTCTACCGCCTCCTCCGACTCAGCGTTTTCCTCCTGCCATAGTGTTTATGACCCACTTCATATAGCTCGTTCCTCAATGTCAGCGCTATTACACTGCCGGGTTAGCATTCTAATGACTCAGGCATTCCCTGTTACAATTCTTTGTAGACCTAAGCTTCCTGAATTGTTTCATCATGGCTGTTTCTTAATCTTACAGTCTAGCTACTATTATTCCAATTTTTTCCCAAAAACTATATCTACATGTACGTAACCTTAGCGGAATTACAGCTACAATTATTCTAATATTATGTTAAAATGTCTCTTGTCTGAGGTGTATGATGAAGCTGTGGTAGAGTATGGTCTATAACAAGTAAGTTTTGTTTTCCATTAACTTGCTCTCTTTGTCCTACATTTGTCTTGGAGGAAGCATGCATTCCAGAATGTGAGAGCAGCTTTACCTTGGTCCAAGTTCAAAGCATTGAGAAATGCACATCATGGGGCATTGCGTGTATTTCCTTCTCAGTCCAATAGCTTGTTCGACTGTATTATTCGGTGGGCTGGTAAAATTTTACTGCAATTTATGAAGCCACTACACAGTATCTTTCTTTCCTTTTTACATGGTGTCCCCTTACCCTGAGCTTGCACTGGTGTGGATTAACTTCTTTGGCATTGCTTATCATATTAGAAGAGAAAACATGGTGTATGCTAAACCCAAGCAAACTAACATTGTTCCTTTTTCTTTTATAAGTGCATAGTAGTGAAATTCTTTTTTGCAGTCTCAGTTTGTGACTGTGCAATGAATATAATGAGATGACACCTGTGCTACCAGTGTAACATCATAGATGCAGGACCTGTAGACATTATGGAGTCTATCTTCATATGTTATAAAGAGGGATATTTTTAATGAGTGTGGTAACTTTAAACTTGTTCATTTGATGAGGTTAGAATATCAGATAGGTTTGAATTCATGTACAGTTTACTTGCCACTGCAGTAAAATACATTTTATGGTTAAGTATAGTGGTTGTTTCACAACCATCCCTTATGTATGAAACATCATGTTGCATGTATTCCAAATTCTTGTAAAATACCTAGAAGTGCTTATAACATAATCATAATATCTGACAGTGATTTAAATACATAACTTCAAGTCCATCCTTTACCTTCTGATTACATGTACTATAGTATGGCATAAAGAGGTATGTACTAATCCAGGTACGAAAATATTTACTTCTTAAAAGTTGTCGCAAGAATGTGTAAATAATGAAAAGGAATTTAACATTCTGATTGTTTTCAACATTTTCTGAACTGAAACTTGTGTAACCTCTGCTTGCAACCAGCTACTAATTAGGAGGCATCCTTTATGAGCAGAAGTTCCACCAGTCTACAAACATACCAGTCATTCTATTAAAAACCACTTGCACTTACATATCTAAAAATCATGTGTGGGAACACTGATTCAAAAAGTGGAACATATTCCTGGAAAATCAAGACATTCCTTGGTTTTCAGGTGCTTAAAAGCTGAAAAACTGATCTTATATTTAAATAAGTTGCCCTGGAAGTAATGCTTGTAAATTAAATTTGAATGTAAAATTACCTTTTTAAAAATCTAGGGGTTGTAGGACTAAACTAATGTGTATTTGGTCTTACAGGCTGTATCTCGCAAAGACTGTGGTGTCCAAATAAAGCCTGTAAATTGTGTGCCAGATCCATTAAGCAGCATGAGCACAGCGGCATATCGTATTCTAGAGGCATTAGAACGACTCTCAACACCAGTTCTTGATGCTAAACGTATCCCTCTGGAGCCCTCACCTCCACCACTTAGTAACAAGCGTAAGCGTCTGCATGGTACAGGTAAGTGAAGAGAATTTTGTGACCATCTGAGTACCTGTTACATTCTCAAGAAGGGCTCTGTTCTGTAGACTTAATTTTTCTTCCCAGTGTCATATGTTACTGTTCGGGCAATAAGACAAAGAACTAACTACTGGTATATGGTGGCAGATTAACTTATTTTGAACTGCAGAGAGAGAGAGAGAGAGAGAAGGAGAGTGTGCATGCGCGCATGCATGTGTTAAATTGCTGTTTTCATTTTCATGTTTTACAACTTATACTGACCATGCATGTTTTGCAAAACTTGCAGATGCAAAAGATGGACTCGAAGTTTGAGGGTAGTTGTGAATATATTGATTACACATTTGTGAAGGGCTGCAGAGTTGTGGAGTTGAGTGTGTGACTAACAATCCCTTATCCAAAGGACTAGCCCTTTAGAAAATGTTAAACTAGGCTTCAAACTTGGGCATGATCTGAATATTGCAATGAACCTTCAGTTTCCATAAAAGGCGGGGGTTTTATTGGCTGAGCAACTCTTACTTTTTTAAGGACTGTGCTCAGTGAGTTATGAGTTAAATAGATCATATAGCTCACTCGGTATAATAATTGGCTATGGGCTGACTGCCTGGGGTTCAGTTCTCAGAAGGAGCAGTAATGTTTCTTGTTGCCTCCGTGTTGAGACTGGCTCTGAGGCCCATCGAGCCTCATATTCCATCTGTACCAAGAGGTGTTAGCTGGGAAGTAGAGTGGGCATGCATGAAGCTGAGGTTGAGAGCATGGAGCTATAGTTCTAACCCCCCCCCCACATATTCATGGTGTATTGTTTCATGAAGTACAAAGACAACTTTACTTTTACCTTTATATCATTATTCAAGCCCCTCCCCCAACTGATATTCTTGAATTTAAGTTTTTTATAACTATGGAGCCACTTCATTTGGTTAATTTGAGATATGAAGTATCCTTCATATTTCTGTGTTTAAATGGCTTCTGTGGGAAAGTGGATGGCAATGTGTAATTAAGAAAAGTAACACAGGTACTAGTGTGAAGGAATTAGTGCTTCAATAGATTTGGCGCTGTTTAGATCATATCATTCCACATGCTCAGTGATGCATAATGGCAGTGCTCAAGACATTAGCTGTGAAACATGTTAAATGCATGCACATAATTTCATCCACCTTTCCACAGCAGATGTACTGTAATAATTTATTTTGGTTATTGTTTTAACTTTGTCAAAAAAACCTGAATATATAGTTAGCTTTGTTAGTGACTCTCCTTATGTGGATTCATGCACAAAGAGTAAAGAAAGTCAAAGGGTGTTGAAGAAGTGAAACATGACATGATTGTTGCACACTGACATAGAAATTTTGTTCTATTTTTCAGACCTACGACTGGGTCAGGCACCTCATACCCCAAAGTCAGCGTGTGGTCTGACTATTCCCACTGTGCCAGATCTGCTGAAAATGAAACACCATGAGAAGTTGCAGGACTCTTCTCAGTCTGCACCTCCTACTGCTACTTCATCTGCTCCTAGCAACTTCAATCACGAGTATAAACTTAGGTAAGTGTGTGTATTTGAGTGGGTCTGTAGGCATGTTAGCTTCCATGGTTATTTGTGTCTGGTTAAAAAGTGAAAAATGTTCATTATCTCTCCTGTTCAAATTAACAATATTATTATGCATCTGACTAATAGTGGGTAAAATTCTGAATTCAAACACTGGTAAGGGAGGAGTTGAAAATTGACAATAAAGCAGGCTGTATTTGGACCATCGAATTCATAAAACAATTATACAGATAAATAGCTCAGGCAGAAGATGGAAGGAGGTATAGCTCTAGTACTTAGAGCTGACAGTCCAGGAACAGCTGCGCCGTGGATGGGCAGGTCCATTCGCGAAAGTTCAAGGGTGTCAGGGGTGTTGTGATTAGTCATTCGTCTGCAGTCAGTGTGAGCACACGTCCCAAGAGCATTCTTCCTTGTACAGTCAAGTTAAAAAGTTTTGACTCTAGGAGTCTTATTTGAGTGTATTATTCTCATTACTGTATTAATATTGTGACGCGTTACCTTACATCCATCACCGCGCAACGGCTACGGTGGAAATTGTTGAGTTCCAACAGCGACAAATCGAATACAAACAGACCGTTGCAAAGGAGCGTTTCCGAGGTAACGGATTGCCGAACACGTGAGTTTGGAATAGGCACTTCCATGGTAATGCAAAGAACAGGGAGCCGTTGTGTAGACAGTGCAGAAGCAATGAACGCGTCTCCCCAGAAATGAACTACAGAGAGTTCGTTGCGCCCGTTACATAACAGCAGACAGTAGAAACGAATCAGCGAGGAATGGTGTCTGGTATCCAGTCCGTAGAACACCTACATAAGCCAAGAGCTACAGAGACAGAAGACAGCAAGAAGTCAGTATTGGGATAGCCGTCGCCGAAGACAGTTGAGATCCAACCACAGCCAAAGGTAGTTGAGATGTCGCATTGAAGTATTGGGCCAGAAATCAAGTGGTGACAGTGACAATATTTTATTTTATTGTTTATTTTTATTAGTTGATTTTCTTTTTTGTTTATTTATATTTGTACATTTTTTTCTATCTCCTTTAACATGCCAAGATTGAGTGGAAAAGTGTTGCATTCACAATCAAGAGAAATTGTTAGTAATGTATATAAGTATATGAAAGAGACTGGGCCAGCAATTACAATGAAGAACATAGGAGTGGAAGTAGCGAAGGCAACAGGTGCATCAGAAAGTAGTGTCAGAAGAATAATAAGAGAAACAAAAAATATCGAATCTGGGGCTTCCGCTTCCTTTTCGACACCCCATAAAGAAAGACCTAGGAAATCTTCACTAGCCACTTTGGATGACTTTAACGAGTCTGTGGTGCAAAGAACAATTAATGACTTCTACATAGTTGAAAAACGGAGACCTACCCTGAAAAAAGTTCACGAAAAGTTGAAGAAAACGTTAGATTTTCAGGGATGCATCTCAACATTAAAGAAAATTATTTTGAAACTGGGGTTCTGCTGGAAGAAAACAAAAAATAATTGGACATTGCTGTTGTTGCCCCTTTAGAATAGACCCGTGTAATATGTAAATAAACTCTTCATGTATATAACTGAAAAGTGTATAATAGTGTATAGTGCATAACAGCCTGCCATTCGGCACTTAAAACTTAATGTCAGATGTGTGAACATCAACGAGAATAAACCACCATCACTATGCAACACAGTGAGGTAAGAAGTTATTTCCTTTTGAGAATGCCTGTACTGCATTCCCCGCCATACTTGTCGGCATGCTGGAGCTCTCCCCGCCACTACCAATTCTCCTACCTTGTGTCGGAGGACTGTCACCGCTAAGTACTAAAGCTATAAGCATATTACTTTGTAAGTGTGTGGAAAGTATAGCTTAGTGCACAGTGTTGACAAGACATTGGATCACTATTGTATGCTGGGGGTTTTGCAGCTAGCGGGATTATCAGTTGCGTGACACATTGTAACTTACTCTATAGAGACTAGAACAAACGTGTGAAGTGACCAGTTACGTGATGGTTTACAGGCCAGTGATTCACAATGCTACCTTGCACGTGCAAACTCACTCCTACAGTAGTTGCCTAAAATAAACGGTTACTTTCTGAATAGGCCTTGTACTTCTGTCACTTAGTCTACCAGGTCATCTGAACACGCATATAGAATTACTCCATATGAGCAATAAAAACAACTTTTTTGTATTATAAAAGGTGTTCAGAATAATGTCCCCTCATGTGCTGGCTCTGACACTTTCCCTGGCTGCTGAACTGTGACTTATGTGTATGTATTGTATGCATTAAAGTTGGTAAAATTCACATATTTAGAACAGTAAAATTTACTGGAGAAAAGTAAAATATGAAGCTGTGAGGATTTTAATGTGATTCTAACACTGAAATATTTGTCCAGCTTGTTATACATTAATATGTGTTGTTTCTGTCGCTGTTTTTGTCTTAGGCATTAATTCCTCATATCCTATTAGCAGTATTATCAGCAATCTAATCAGCATGTTTTATTTGCAGGTTTGAGGATGATGGGAAGGAAGGAAGGCACGTGGGAAAGATCAGAGGCAAAGTGAAAGAACTTGAAGAAGGAACCGTGGAAGCAGTAAACCTCCCCCATATTTCACTACCACTTACATCTGTTCCAAAGTTTGATTTTGTAGTTCCTCCAGCAGCTGACATGCCTGCAGGCATCAGTACCTTCAAGTTTGCTTCCCCAATCATTGTTAAGGAGAATGCAAGGACATGTTTACCTAATGATAACTTTGCTCTCAGTGATCCCCTCAGTGCTGTAGGTAATAAGAAAATCACAGTGGATACAAAAAGTAATTGTGATGATACTTCCATTCCAAATTGTCCTACAAAATTAAGTGGAGTGCAGTTTGTATCTAGAAGTGACAATAAGAAGAATGAGGGTGAAATTGCGTCACATAAGAACAGTAATGATGGTGAGATGTGTTTCGGCATTAAGCGAGCCACAAAACGGGCAGCATGTGGTGTAATGGACATTCAAGGAAAGAAGCCGTATTGTACTGATAAGGCAGAATTGAAGGAGGTTGATTCAAGTAGCATCTCTTTAGATAAGTTGAAACCGGCCCCTGAAATTTGGGAGTGTGGAGACTGCATGATCCACAATAGAATCGATGACACGAAGTGTCTTGCCTGCAAGGCTCCTCGTACATCTGCTGGATCACTGACTTCCACTGCAGCCAGTACGCCAGAATGTCCCAGAATTCAAGTCAGTGCATCAGATGTTATGTGGGAATGCAGTTCCTGCCATGTACATAATCTGTACAGTGCTACAGTGTGCAGCAAGTGCTTAGTAGCAAGGACAGAAGGCCTATCTCATGGTAAAAACTCAGCACATCCTGCAATGTCAGTTAATGGTTCTGGCAGGAAATTCAAACCTAGTGAGACTTGGGAATGTGGAACGTGTGCAGTAAGGAATCGAAACTCCCTGAAGCATTGTCATGCCTGTGAAACCAGAAGACCAGTATTAGCTGCAACCAGAACACCAGTGTCAACTGCCAAACCAACACAGACATCTGTAAATTCCACACTTGAGCTTGGATTTGGAGACAAATTTAAGAAACCACCAGGATCATGGGATTGCCCAGATTGCATGCTGCAGAACAAGAGTGAATCATTGCATTGTGTAGCATGTCAGAAAGTCAAACCCGGTTCAGAATCCCAGTCACCCATAAATTTGATTGTTGTACTTGATAAGGCTGGTGTGTCAGTAAAGGAGTCCAACAATGCCTCTTCATCAAACTTGCAAAGTATCTGTTTTGGTGAAACGAAGGTCATACCTGTAACAACTATCTCCTTTTTAGTAACTCAGGCCAGTGAAACAAAAAGCGTAACATTGGCTACCAAACCAACTCAAACGTCACCTGCACAGTCCACAGTTGGTATGTTGTTTGGAGACGGGTTCAAGAAAACATCTGGAATGTGGAATTGCTCAAAGTGTATGGTGCAGAACAACAGTGATACACTGAAGTGTGTAGCTTGTGGGGGAGCCAGACCAGGTTCAGAGTTGCATTCAGCCATGAAGGTGAGTTTTGGAATTGATAAGGCTGGTGTTCCAGTAAAGGAATCTGACAGTGCATCTTCATCAAACATGCAGTTTTTCACATTTACTGAACCCAAGGTTACATCAGACAGTATGCCTAAAACAACAGAGGCATGCACATTGGCTACTGCTTCCACTGGTTTTAGTTTTGGACCTGCAATGATGTCCCCATCAGCATCAGAAACTGTTGTGAAACCTGCAGATACAAGCTCACTTTCACAAACAGCATTTTCTTTTGGGATTCCACAGCATTCACAATTCCAACCACCAGCATCAAGTGAGGACCAGAAACTGCCTGGAGGTGATCCAAAGAAACGCCGGTCATCTGAAGTGAAAGATGACATTGCAAATAAGGCCATGTTTTCATTTAATGGAAGTAGTTTCACAAGTGAGAATCCTAATACATCAACAGAGATGGTACAAAGTGCAAAGTCTAATTTAAGTTTTGGTGCAACTTTGGAAGACGCAGCTTCCACAGATATTAACATGAGTTTGGTTGAGCCAGCTGCTGCTGTTCCTAGCATTGGTTTTACTTCACCACAAGCTGCATTTGGAAGCAGTACTGTTGCTGCCGTGACTGCCAGTAGTAATATTGATTTTGGTATTGCTACCTGTACACCAGCTGCCACTGTTACAACAGCATCAGGTGTATTTAATTTTGGTGCAACAAGTCCATGTGTAACATTTGGAGGGTCTTCTCAACAATCTGCCAGTACTTCTGGAATCACAAATGAATTTGGTACAGCATTGAAAACTGATGCTCCTACTATGTTTACTTTTAATTCCAATGTAAGTAATATGGAAACTGTTGGAGCTACCACATCAAATACACAGGTACCCAGCTTTGTACCAATAATGAACACTGCAACCAATACAGCATTTGGACCCTTAACCGCGACAGCCACTATGTCACCTTCGTTGTCAAGTTTTGCTTCAGCCACCACAGCACCCAATTTCGGTTTAGGAGCAAGAGAGACAACTCCAGCATTTGGCACACCCAATACAACTATAAATAGTGCCATTACAACTTCTCCTACCTTTGGCAGTTTTCCAGCTCCAAATTTCAATACAGGATTCTCTGCTATTCATGAACAGAAGCCATTACTGCCAGACGTCACAATGTCAACAGCCACTCCTGTGCCATTCACATTTGGTTCCAGTCTTGGGCAGGCAGCGCCATATGCTTTTGATAACGTTCAGAATGACCAAGGTTTGGCAAACAAGGGCACATTTACTTTTGGTTCAGCCTCAACACCAGCATCAAATTCTGGATTTAGCTTTGGGTCAAGTAATCAAGTGCCATTTCATGTTGGGCCTGCTTACAATTTTGGATCCAGTGAAGTCACTACGTCTAGCACTGTAATCCCATCAATGTTTCAAGCAGCAGGACCTGCTAGTGGTAATGTGTTTGGGGCATCATCTTCAGTATTTGGTGCCAACAATTCTGGCAACAGTAACCCTGCACCTACCACTGCTGCTGGCCCAAGCCCTAGTCCATTCATCTTTGGCTCCAACCCTGCTCCTACCACTGCTTCTGGCCCAATCCCTTGTCCATTCAAGTTTGGCTCCAGTAGTTCACAGCCAAGTTCAAATGTGTTTGGCTTCACAGCGAATCAACCCACAGGATCAACAAATGTTCCAGTTCAGAACTTCACTAGCCCAGCATCAAACTTCACCAGCCCAGCATCAAACTTCACCTTTAACCAGTCACAGCCAGCTGCACAATCTTCATCGCAGCCTGTTGGCCCTACATTTGACCCTTCTATACGGCCCACTTTCAACTTCAGCAAGGGCGAAACACCTTCCTTTACGTAAGTACAGTTTGTATGACAACACTATTGTAAGGGTTCTATACATGTACAAAATGTTACACAAGGCCTGGAGTTTGATGAATTATGTGTAATAACCTAAGGAATGGAAATGGGTGTGAGATTTGAATTTGGAATATCAGGAACCTGTAGGTCAAGTTCTTTGAAAACAGAAGCAAGAGAACTGGCAAAGTATAAATTATATTTAATGGGTATACAGGAAGTCAGACAGGACAGGGGTGGGGCTGAACCAGCATGTGATTATTCATTTTTCTGTGCAAACTGAAATGAGAATCATGACTGAAGGAGGGGATTTCTGTGTGTAAGGGAATTATATTAGCATTAATGTGGGCAGTGTCTGTGATAGGATGTCTTATATAATGCTAAGAAGTTGCTTGTGTGACATTTTGAGTGTACATTCCCCAACTGATGAAAAGGGCAGCTTCTCTCAGGAACCACTCTGAATATTCCTTCAGCTTCCTAAGTACCACATGAAAATTTTGTTAGATTCCAGTAGAGAGATGATTTTTTAAACCAGAAATTGGGAATCAGAGTCTGCCTGAAACATGTAACGATAACAGGGTTAAAGTTGTAAACTTTGCCACAAGAAAAAGTCTGTCAAAGAGTACAAAGTTTAAAAAAAAACAAACTCCGTGGTTTTAGTTCGCAAGCGCACTATACCGACTGAGCAACCATGCTTGTTGGCAAAGTTAGTGCCAACTTTAGCGGATAGAGGGTGTCGTGTGGTCAGCACAACGAATCTCAACAGCTGTTAATTTCAGTTTTCTAGACCAGAGCCGCTGTTATTCCATTCAAGTAGCTCCTCAGTTATCCTCATGAGTCTGAGTGAACCCCGTTCCAAACCCACTAATTCTCAGAAAATCTGGTAGTGCTGGGAATCGAAGCCGGGACCTCTGGATCTGTAGCCAGGAACTCTAACCACTAGACCACAGAGGCGGTCAATTAGAGAACAATATGTTAAATCTCAAACAGGTTTGCAGCCATAGGAAACTTAGATGATACTGTGAGCATCAGTAGGGCTTGAGATAGCATTAAAGTGGGTGCCACAGTTTCAGCCAAAGAAGAGTTTGGTTGTTGCAGGTTAAAGCAGCAGAAACCATGATTTGACAAAGCATGTTCAAAATGCTTTGATCAAAGGAGTGAGCTAAATTGCAGTTCTTGCAGAATTTGAAACGAATGGAGACATAGTTTGAACAGTGTAAAGTGAAAGCTAGTAGACAGTTCAGGAGCAACGGATAAGATTAATGAACTTTAAATAAATAATAGAAAACAGTAGTATTAGAGACTTACAAAGAGACATAAATGAATTTAATAATTGTTATCTACCAAGAACTAACTTAATAAAGGACGAGAATGGTGGTCTGGTTGCAGATTCCACAATAATTTTAATAGGTGGAAGAATTGCTTTTCTTAGGTATTGAATGTATATGGGGTTTACAGTATTAGGCAGACTGAAATATGTAGTCCTGAGCATAGTCAATTGTAGCCATTTAAGTTATTATATTTGAGCATCCTGTTGCGCTAGTTTGATCACTTGATATATATGGGGTGTAACTGTCAGGTGCAGACAAACTCGACACGAGTTCCACATGTCAGAAGAAGAAAAAATGCCCATAGCAACATGTGTCCAGAAACGTTTAATTTGCGAGTTATAGCAGAAAGAGTTCATTTACAGTTAGTGCTCAAACTATCCTCAATGAGGTTGAGTCCGTGTCTTACATGTCTCATGACAGACTGCCACATTTATTCAAAGATGCCGGGATAGTTGCAGGATAGCCTGACAGGCATCAACAGCGCAATTCAGAAGTGAAGTGCCTCTATGTTTTCAAGAGGAGGTGCACACACACGGGTTTTTAGGTGTCCCCACAGGTAAAAATCCAGAGGATTCAAATCTGTCATGCATGGAGGCCATGCAGTGGGTCCTGCTAAACCTCTCTGTCGGTTGTGACAGATGTTACTCAGAACATCTTGCACATCATGGCTAATGTGCCCGAGTCCCATCTTGCATGTACTACATTCATGCTCTGATTACAAGTAGTATAGCTTGCAGTAGCTTTGGCAGATCATGTAAGAGGAAATCTCGGTAGTGGTTGCCTGTAACTCAACGTGGCAAAACATGTGGACATGTGGACTTACCAAGCATCTCCAGCAATCCCTGACCATACATTAATGCAAGACTGCTGCTGGTGTCTTTAAGTACTATGTCAACAGTAACAAAAATTAAATTCGTTTCCGGACCCACGTTGATATTCACATTTTTTTCTTGCTTTTGTAAATGAAACTCATGCCCAATTCCTGAATGAAAGAAGTTCTTGTATTGGTCCAAATTATTTGCTGGATGTGATTTTTATTTTCATTTGGTAATTATTCAGATTTGCATTTAAATGTATTTAACCTAATATATTTCAGTATCCTGTTGCATTGTTGCATCACTTGGCCACTTGTTTTCGTCTTTATTGCAACATAAACTTTTATTTGAAAATGTCATTACAATTACATTTACTTTTATAAAATGTCATTATGTTATTTTAATGTCATTTTAGAAGATTAAACATGACTGTAATGACATTTAAAAATAAAAGTTTATTTTGCAATAGAGATGGAAACAAATGGCCGAGTGCTATATAATCAAATTAAGAGAACCCACACTTTTGCATTGTTATGGAGAAGTGCTTTACATAGGTGTGATAGCATATAAAAATGTACTGTGCTGTTCTAGAGGTTTTAATATACAGGGGTTGGAAAAAATGGAAACACTACAGATACTGTACACATTTCTTTATTAATATAGTGTTGGACCACCTTTTGCCTTACTGTACAGCCACAGGCCTTCTTGAAATGGACTCGTACAAGTTTTGAACAGTCTGTAACAAAATTATATACTAGTATTCTTCAAGAACATCTTCAGATTGCTTTAGGGTTGTTGGAGGTGGGACTCTGTTCCTCACTCTAGTCTCCAGAACTGACCAGAGTGGTTCAGGGATGTTCAGATCTGGTGATTGTGCTCGTCAGACAGTTTTTGTGGAAACAGGGTCTTCACAATGAATATTCAGTTCTGCTGTCACCTATGCTGCAGTACTGTGATTTTTTTGAAACAGTCCTTCTCTTCTCTTTCAGTTATTGTTGATTTTAGCCCACTGTGTCTCTTTGCTGATGTCTTCCCATGATTTGTCTATACTGACATAACCATAGAAATTGTCACGCTTGATGCACTTAATAACATGGAATTTTTGTGACAATGTACCATCTAAACAGGCACCAATGATTTGTCCCCTTCCAAAAATCAGACAAGTCTCCCATTTTCTGAATCTTTCAAATGGACTGCCACTTAACACAATCACTAATGCACTTACATGAGCACTACAGAGTTTTAACAAATGGAAGAACATTCAGTTTTGCCAGCTGAAGTTCTTTCATTGTAGCCAAGACAGTTTCTTAGTGTTTCCATTATTTTGTCCACCCTCTGTATATGACATTTTCATAAAATCTGTAATCTGCAGAGTGAAACGGAATTCAGGCACAAGCACTCTTCAGTGTGGTTCCATGTTAAATAAGTAATAAATGTTATACAGCATGCTTGTATGTTCTAAGAAGCCTACTTTTTAAAATAAATGTCACAATCAGATGTGTAACATACTTCTCAGTAGTATTGTCACAGTGATATGTAGCACATCTTTAGGCATTCTCAAGACACATTGCACAACAGGAGTCACTTGTGAATGAATGATCATGGACAAATTCTGTGACATGTTGTTAGCCTTTGGTACCAGAAGTAATGAAACTGGTATTGCTGCATTATCCTTGTTGATGTCATCTGTATGCTAATGTGTATGATGACGAGCAACATCTCTGTGAGACAGACATATGAATGCAGATCACCCACGTACTGTGGACACCAGTCAGTGAAGATGTCATTTGCAGCTATGCAGCAAGAGCCATGGAAATGCTAATGCATGAGTAGTATCACATGAGGTTTGGAACTATTCCCAAGTGCAGGTCCTCAAAGTATTTCATGATGTTCATTTGCATTCTTACCACTAATCACAGAGTGCACATTTCTTTCCAGGCAGTCATCCTCTATGGATGCAGTTTTTCAAGTGGTTGCAACATAAACATACTGCATATAAACCTTTTTTTCTTTCATAAAATTCTGTGAACATATGTTGTTACATATGAGTGTGTGTTCAGTGTCCACAACAGTCTCTTTGGGACACAGGATAAGCCTTGTGCTATCTGCAGACACTTCATTGTTGGCATGTGGGCTGGAATTGTTAGGGACATTGTCATGTACTCCTGTTTCACACCTGACAGACTTAACTGCTCAGTGATATTGTGATTTACTGGAAATTGTTTTAGGAGAACCCCTTGAAGATGTTTCTCTGGCTGTGAGGCCAAATTTGTTGTTTCAGTACATCAACACTCCAGCACACTATGGAGCAGATGTCTGTTGTATGAACATTGTACATCCAGGAAGGTGCGTTGGGCATCAAGGGCCAATGGCATGGCCTGTTTGGTCTCTGGATCTAATTCACATGGATTTCTTCCTGTGGGGGCACCAGAAAGAGCGTGTTTATGCAGTTCCTCTCAAGACTGTCAAATGTCTTGTGTAAAGATTTCAAGCAGCTGTGATGCCAAGATGTTAGGTTATGTTTGAAAGAATGTGATGTAGTGCACTGCCATCTGGCTTATGATGGATGGAGGCCACTTTGAACACCTGTTATAACTGTGAGGCACCCATGGTTAATTATTCGATAGTGTGTGCTATTTAACAATGCTGTGCATTTATAAAACTTAAACATTGCAGGACATTGTATAGTATTTCTTACTTCTTTTTAACAAGGAATTGCACTATGGAGAACTTGTGCATGAATTTTGTTTAACTCTGTATAAGAATCTAGCCACTGATCTGTAGAATATAACGGTTTTAAATTTGTTACAGAGCTACAGCTGCTGGTGATGCTGTAAGGCCTGAACGTCGCTTCAAGAAAGCACTGAGGCGGACACATCCTCGATAAGAAAGTAGTGTGTTGCAGCTGTCAACTTTTGTGTGTTGAGTATAATTCTGGACATGTGTGTGCTGTGAACATTTGAATTTTAGAAGTAAGTGTCATATGTAATGATTAATAATTATGGAAATAAAGGAATTTTAAGAAAAATTAGACCACGGAAAATATACATTTCAGACACACTTTAACTATATAAATTTGTGCATTAGCTGCTAACAATGCCAGAAGTCAGAGTCTCTTTAAAGAAATTCTGAGCATATCTGTTTCAGGATAAGTGGCAATATCTTTGGAAGTAAAGTAGTTTGTTTTCACAGGCTCTGTGTCACTGCCCTTGGGTGGTTACATGTACTATGCCTATTTAGACATGATAGGAATTGCTTCATCTGAACTGTGGGATAGTAGACAGTTTACTTGAAGTAACTGAGTAATTATTTAAATATAAAATATGTAACAAAAGTGGCATTCAGATACTGTAAAGAGAAAAACAGGATTTTTGTTGCACAGCTGAATGCCATTTTCCATTGCTGTGGTTTAGATGTTCTCTATGGCCTGGTTACTTTGACAAGAATAGTGGTGTTAATTTTGTCATTACAAAAGCTCATTTCAAATTTGTGTTAAGTAACCAGGTGCTAGCTTAGGTTGTCTCACTTCTATATAGGAATGCTATGGACTGTGAACATTCTCTGTATTTTTGAGGGCTATGTCCTCACTCCTCATTCCTCACATTTTCGGTAGAATCACAGTTAAGAGTATGTTTTCATGTCAGAACAATGTATCTGTTACTAGGGTTAACAATGGCCTTAAGATGAGTGCCATTTATTTAAGAGAATGTTCACAGTGTTAGTATGTAATTAATATAGTTGTTTTAGCATTCTTAGTCCCCCTGCCCCTTTTTGTGTACTGGGATGGAGTATATTAGTAACGAGACATGTTTTTTACACACATACACATTTGTGGCCTGGCCCACAGAATTTATTTTGAATTTTCAATATACCACTTGTAGTTGCGTGTGGTATTGTTATAATAAAAATATGTGAAATATTCTCATGAAATTGCCAAATGATAAATGGTAATAAGAATATTCTAGAAAGCTTTTCTGTGATATTCTAGTGGGCCAGGTTATTGGGCACATATGGTGATGTAAATGTTAGCTTGTGTAGAAGGCAGGCTCACTCCTCCACAATTCTGCCAGGAAACATGGATTTCCTATTCTTTTGATGGGTGTGTGGCGTGATGTGACTGTGTTGAAGAACACTCATGATTGTATGCTGTGTTTTGGACAAATATTTGCATATATGAAACTGTTTTTGATTAGAAAAAATATATATGAAAGATGCATGAAAGGAGTTAGACTGCTTTGTGTGTAAATATGGTATTAAATGTTTTCGGCTGTTGTTTTCATTATATGCTGAAAATTTCATCTGGACCATACTGTAACAGGTCAGGCATCAGACATTTACCTTTAAAGGTTGTGAATTCAAATTGGCATTCTCCATTTTTATGACATTTTAATGCGGTAAGTAGATAGACATTACAGTTCATGTCATGTAAGATTGATCTATGAGAGAATTTCAGGTTTTGACGTTTCAGCTTGTACATACAATCTTAGGGTGAAGTTTTCAGCAGCAACAAAATATTTGTGCCTTTATTATTTCCATGGTGTATAAGCTCCGGTTGTCAAAGGCATGTTCCAGAAATGTCATATGCCATCATTTGTTTTACCATGTTTTCAATATGCAGCATTTTTGAGAACTCCTGTACTATATATTACAACAGTGTATTTCTGGATTCAGTCTTGACACCCATTTCCTGCAGTGCTCAATTATGGTTACAGCATAAATAAAATAATAGGGTTAAGTTTGTTTATCTACAAGTTGTTAACAATATCCAGTCTGTTTTGAGTTATGTTGTAATATTATTGATTTCATGGCATATGATATTTATACACATTATTATTTGGAAATTAAAAGTCAGGTCTGTTGTGTTATACATTGTAATTTAATTACATGTATATTCACATGCATTCAAAATACACTTTTGATTCAAGTAACCTCTCCTTGTAGTGGGACATACAGTTAGTGTGAACTTGAGGGTTCCTCTCTTCCTCGGCATCCTTTCTGCTGTCACTTTGTGTCTTTTCAGATAGTGGAATACAAAGTACAAGATAGTCCTACAGCAGAGTACTTTCTTAGTATAAAAAGTTGTGGTGACACTTTTATTTTTTAGTCACACCTGATGAAGAACCTGATATTTGATGTAGATCAAGGTGCTACATTTCACAGGTTAAACAACTGTTATCTCATTAAATAGGCCCTGAGAAAATATACCAATTTTGAATTATTTGGAAGGAAGTTTCATAGTTATTTAAGTAAAATCTGTGTCATTTTACTGCTGCTTAATATTATATTCTCCCTACATTATAAAATTGTTCTTAGTTTTTAGAAAATGCTGCTGAACAAATAATGTAACTTAAAATTTTCCTTTCTCTATATAGATAAAGGCCAGCTGCAAGCAATACTGTCTATGGGATGTTAAAATGTGAAAGTTATTTAGTGCCCACATAAAAAATATGGATTTACTGCAATTAGAGTAAGGTACTTTTAACAGAGTCTCAAGTGAATATTTTTCTGTTTATTGAAGGTACTGCATAGTACATGGGGCATGCAGTAGCATAGTTGGTTGAGGCATTATGCTGCAAACCAGAAGGTCACAAGTTTGAGTCCTGATGAGGTGGATTTTTTTTTTTCAGTTTACTTAATTCTTCCAGCAGCACTATGGCCCTGGGGTCGACTCAGCCTCTTAACAGAAATGAGTACTAGGAATCTTCCTTGGGGGTAATGGGTGGTCAGTACATAAGGCTGACAACCTTATCGTCATCTGTGAGCCAATGTCTAAAGAAAATGTGGGAACCTCAACGTCTTGCAACTCTATGGGCCTTCATGGCTGGTTACGGGGATAGCTCAACTTTTTTTATGGCATATTGCATATGACATGTTTTAATGATCAAAATCACATAAGAAATTCAGAACAGTTGCTCTTAAATTTACGTCTTTCTTTCTTGTTTCTGTGTTAAATAGTTTTCAGTTTATTTTTAATTCAGATTTCATTTTAGACAGGCGTAACTGAATTTTGTATATTTCAAACGGACAGGTAACCCTTCTGTGAAAATAGTGGTACAGTATGTGAATCTGTAAATGCCGTGTGTGACAATGTTTTTCTGTGCACATGGTATAATTTCAAGAATGTAGGCAGCAATTATTTTATGAAATTTCATGTCCTGATTCATGCTGCTTCATAATACACAGTATATAAACAAGATACAGAATGTATGTATAATGTAATATTTGAGGCATATTCAGATATTTCATATGTAAAATTAATGACTGGGATGGCCCTGGCTTCACTCTCATGGGAATCCCAATACACTATCATCAGTGGAATAGGAGACAGCAAGATACTTTCAAAAATCATATTTGGGTCTTCATGTAAAGTATCCATTATTGTCTGATTTTAACTGAAACATAATTTTGTAGACATCTTAGTAAACTGACGAAAATCCATTCAGTAGGAGCCAGATTGTTTTATGTGGACGGCCGAGGCAGAGTGAATAGGTGCTTTCTGCATTTCTTGCAAATATGCATAAAAACTAGTAATTTGTGATGCTGCACTGGTTAAGTGGAAGCTAAGAAGAAAGTATTGAAACTGAATAAGTAGTAATGCCTCTGTCTTGTGTTCAAAGAGTGTCTGGTTTTAATCTTAGCCCAACACATCCTAGCTGAGGTTTTTTATGGTTTTTCTCAGGCCCTTCATCCAAATAGATGATAGTGTGATAGTGATAGTGGCTCACTTTAGGCCACAACCACTTTCACATCCTTTCTAGTTCTTAACTGAGTCATCTGATCATCTGCTGTTTCTGTCCAAGTTAACTGACAAGCATTGTGAAATAATCTCTGAACAGAAGTACAGAATCATCTGGTGAATGTTATGTCATACAAAATGTATTTCAGATACAGATCCATTAATTGTAATCCAGTGTATCTAAAATCATAGAACTGGATAGACTGTGTGCACGTATGGTGGTAACTAGTGAAAACTGAGCAGTTCTGATTGATTTTCCCCTTTTCATAAGTTGGTTATTTAATGGCACTGGCTGTATTGAGACTATATAGCTTCAAGATGGTCTCCTTTTCTCAAAGCTGTTGAATTATTCGATGTTTTTCTTTTGCAAATACAGAATTGTTCTCCATATTTTAATAAAAATAAAACTAAAAAGATCTTTGACCTAATTTGGTAAATACATTATGTTTCACATTCAGTGAGTAGACAATCTACAGAATATAAAAAACAGAGTGGTGTAAATGGCAAAGCAGGCTCTACGGTTTCCTGATTATAACTAGGCTGTGATATCTACTTAACCCTTTAAAGCGGAGTGGTACCTACATATACTGTCTGCTTAAACAATAAAGAACTTGCATTTTATTCCCAGTATGTGTGTATTGGTTTCATATTCGTGGAATAAATTATTTCCCTATACAGCATTAACTTATGTATCTTTGTAAGGGAGATATAGTGGTTTTTTTTAAGCAGGAACTGAATTTTTTAGTATTGTATTGTCACAATTTTATGGAGTGACTATAGATGGGTATTGGATTGGTAATTGGATTTATTGACCACTTAGAGATGGTAACTGCAAGTAACGTTAGTACTATCACTAATTCACTACAGCATGCACTGATTCTTCTCAGTCTGCTGTATCTTCACCGTTTGTCTCCTGGTAATGGCTTCCAACATCATGGCTCCCATGTTCACATCCTTACTGGCCGGTGACTGGCTCATAACTCACTCTCAGGCTGGTGGCCATCTCACACCAACATCCTCTATTCATTGCTGTCCCAAGACTTGTAATTGCAGCTGCTCCACATTATATAGCATCAATACGGACCACACAGAGAACACTGCTTCCAAAAGTTCTGTTGTAGCATCACATGGCTATCGCTTAGACCATGTAGAGAACACCATTCCTGCATTACTCTTTATGACTATTACCTAGCAATAGCAGTTGTTTACAGAGTCATTAATTAGCAGTGGGTTTATATGCTACAGTATAGTAGAACTTCACATGTCAAAGGTTAAGAGGAACAACTTTTAATAATTATAACATTCTTCTTATATTTACATTCAGGCACAGTTTTGTTGTGCAGCATTTGACGATTCCAATGTAGTTCCACTGCATAATATGTGAAATGCTAATTCTATAAGTTTTGATCATTATTGTATATGGTATTCACTGATTGAAGTAATTTGTTTATAATTGATCATAAATTTCATGCCTTAAATAACATTGGTGAAGTTACAGAGATAAAGACTATGTTCTTCCAAGTTGTAACATTGTGCAGTTAGAAGAGAGCCTGATATTCTGAAGGAACATACTTCCTACATCTTCAGATTTGAAGGGTAAACTAAGTAAGACACCAGCAGAATGAGGCAACAGGCAGAATCAACTTTCACCTGCTGTTTGCAGCCCATACCCTAATTAGCTAGTTTTGTGTGATGCCATGTCCTGAGGTGTAGATTTTATATGTTTCTACCCTGAAAATGGAGGCTGTATACTTGGGCTGAATGGTTGACATAGTGCTGATGCTGTAGGATTATATTCGAAAGATGTTTGGCCATAACACTTGCTGTCCTTCCTGAGCTGCTTTGTGTTTTTTCACATTCCCTCAGGCCACAACTGCTTTCTTATAAGTCATTTCCATTCCATCGTTTTTCTCTTCCACCATTTGATACTATACAGTGTAGCTAGTGACATTAAATAAACTGCAAAAAGTATGTTCCTCCAAAATATATATGTATAGATGTGCCGAAGACAAATCCGGGTACATCATACCTTATGTAGGCTGCTTTATGGTAAAAAGTTCTGTGTATTCCTCTGGCACCATCCTCAAAATCGTTAACATAATTGTATCGTCAAAAAATGTTTTGCTGTCTTACGGTAAAGAAACTAGTGTGTAATAAGTTAACACTGAAGCAAGAGTAGTGTATGTATTATTTCTGTCAATTTCTTGGGAGGTTAATGCGCTGTGTTTCCTTGTCATTGTGGCAGCAGAAAGGCTGTCTGCTGTGCTGTATGAATACTTACTGGGGTATTTTAATATAGAATTTGTAGTGTTAGGAAAGAAATTTGAAGTTTTATTATTTATCCTGCACTGTATGTGATACAAACAGCAGAGTGGTGAATTTTTTTAAACATTTTGCATTTATAGCTGGCCATATTTGCTCACTCTGTGCAATGTGTGGAGGTAGGCTGAGAAACTGGTCATGTCTAGGAGGGTTCCTGTAAGAAATTCTCATAATTTATGAAGGTGATCAGAGATTTTCATTCTTTCTTCAAGAATAAAGCCTGAAAAAAAAAATCAGCCAGTTTTACCTCCTACAGCAATACTGTAACATGTATATGTGCAGCTTTGAAAATTAGTGAATATAGAGTTTGAGCCACACTGAATTTCAGACTTGCAGTTCACCAGATAAGAAAACTGCTTCAACAGACATTATTATGATAATATATAAAAAATATGACTTGTTAATCTTAGAAGATAAAGAAGAAAGCAGTCTTCTGGTATATGGCATCATGTATATATTGCACTAACCGACGTTTCAGAGGAACATATCGCCTCCATCTTCAGGGTAGAAGAAAAAAGAATATCTGCAAGTGAAGAACCAACGAGAGCAAGTACTAATAGACTAATGTCGAGAATAAACCCAGCTGTATAGAGCAGGAAGAGAATGGAGAGGGGCTACATGGGAAATCAGAAGAGAGGAGAGGGGAAGGGTCTGGGGGGGGGCAGCAGCTAGCAGGCCAGAGGAGGTCTA